AAATCCTTGCTGACAAAATACGTTGGGATACAGGGAGAGTTGGAGGATTGGGATTCCTTCCTTACCATGGTGCTGGGATACAGGGAACATAAGCATCGTCGAGATCTTCCTCGAGATCTTCGTCGATGAATTCGTTGATGAGGATATTGCCGATCGGTGGAGGTTATCATACAGGACTTACCAACCTGAGCCTGGGACCCAAAGCAAAGCTGATGACCCGCTTTTGGGTTCCACTGACCCAAAAGCGGTACTCACCCCCTGTTACTGGCCAGGCTGGTAAATGAAAGCGCTCCGCGAGCCCCGTTACCAGGAAACCCCGCAGACTGGGACCGTAACCCAGTTGCGCTGCCGCAGCGCTGACCGCAGAATCAGCGCAACTGGGCCAGCGTTGCCTGAGGACCTTCCTGAGATAATGCCAGATGTTTTGAAGTGCTGGCTTGAGGTCGGCCTCGAGTGTCCGTCTTGACTTGAGCATTGACAATCGGAATGAGAGAGAATTGATTGCTTTCTAAGAGGGAAATCTCACCCAAAATTTTGCAAAGCGCATGCTCAGGCAGAACCAAAATGCGGTCAAATTTGGTGCGTGCAGACGCAACTAGGCCTTCATGACTTTTCGGAGTCAATTCCAATTCCAGCTTCCATTGATCGTGAATGAGATTGGCGGACAGAAATTCAGTGGTGTCGCGAGCTTCCGCAATCTCATGTGAACATGGAATTCCCCATGCACCTCGGAAAGTGTGTGTACACTGATTTTTCAGAGAATCCGGTAGGAGGTCGTACTGAGCTTTGAGTTTCTTGAGTGCATAGTGTGATATGATTCCATTGAGTTCCTTGAAGAAGGGTGGCATGCCATGAAGAGTCTTTGTCTTCTCTATACCCACTAGAACCAATAACTCATTCATTTGATGTTCTTCAAATTGTTTGAAGGCGTTGAAACAAGTCAGAAAGTTGTTGTTTCTCCCGTCTAGAAACCGTTTAGCTCGAAAGTGGGCTCCTTCGACTCTAGAAGTAGAAGAATTGCCAAAGTGTGGCGTATTTGAGGTAAAAAGAGTTACAAATTTTTTGGTTCGCTGTAACCATGTGCTTTGAAGGTACTCATATACATTATGCGCTCTAGCTACTTTGATGACAGCTTCAAGATTACTGTTATAGTCGGTGGTTGTAGTTGAAGCAACAAAAGAATTCCAAAGTTGCAAGAAAGAAGTCCATTCGGGATCAGAGAACTTGCTCTTGCAGTTCTTGGCTATATTGATGTTGATGTGCCAAACACATAAGATGTGTTTGGCCTCCGGAAAAACAGTCCCGATGGCGTTGATGAGAGCTGGTTCGGCGTCCGTTGCAAATGTCTCCGGCATTGAAACAGATGATGTTTCATCCTCATCTTGATACATGACCTGTTTCAACTGTTCCAATGCCCACTCGTACTGTTCCGTTTTTTCGCTATGCAGAAAACACATTGCAACCGTAAACGTTCTATGAGAATTGGTTGTCCCAACGATATGTAGGAGGGGTAGGTTGAATCTGTTAGTTTTGTACGTGCAATCAAGTGATAGTACAGTCGAAAAGCGTCGAGCTAGAGTAATTGCGGTTGGACTGGCAAAAAAAAGGTTTTGAAGAGTACCGTCCGTTGTGGTGAGTGTACGGTGAGCCCAGTTACTTTCAGTGATTAAGTCAAATAGACCTTGAATTGGAGTCCGTCCATTGAGCCAGTTGTCTCTGAGACGGGATCTGACTTTGTGAATACCGCGCACTAACGGTTTCGACCCAGGTTCAACATTGATTAATTGACGAATCTGGTTTGCACCACATGTCGTGATATTGTATGTCAAGGACTTCCGGTATTACATTACTTTACGAATTTATTTCTTTTCAAGAACGGTACTCAAGAAGATTTTATCAAATATGGTTAAATTCATTACTAATGTGTATGGAATCACGGTTTAAGAAAAATAGAACAAATTAATAATTTGATTAGTTACGAGAAGGGTATGAAAGAATTTAATTTAATTAGTTACGAGAAGGGAATGAAAGATTTGAAAATGGGAGTTAATGTTTCTCTTTCGGGAAAGAGTTGTTTGGGTGTTTGTTGTCTAATTTGTAATGTGTAATGTGCGCATGTCCGATGTTGTGTTTTTCTTATTTAAACCCGTGGTATGGTTTGACCCAGATTCTTTTCCCTCATCAAAAAGAATCTGTAAGTCATTTCTATACCTACTTATACGAATTCTCTACAACCTTTCTAACATATACATTCTCCTCATCTAGTTTTAATTTTTATCTCTGTTACTCATCTTTCGTACTTGATCTTATCCCGTGACCCCTGTTGCTTTTTGCACAGGTTTGTGTGCTCTTTTACTTTCTTTATATCTTCTTCTTTTACTAACTCTTGTGTGATGTATTAGGTTTGTCCGTTCTTTAGCTCATTGAAGCTTAGAGGCTTGTTGCCGATTGACTTACATCTAACCTGATTACCCCAGGTATTCAATTGTTGCTCATCGAAAAGAATCTTTTTAATTTTTATCTCTGTTGCTCATCTTTCGTACTTGATCTTATCCCGTGACCCCTGTTGCTTTTTGCACAGGTTTGTCCGTTCTTTAGCTCATTGAAGCTTAGAGGCTTGTTGCCGATTGACTTACATCTAACCTGATTACCCCAGGTTTGTCCGTTCTTTAGCTCATTGAAGCTTAGAGGCTTGTTGCCGATTGACTTACATCTAACCTGATTACCCCAGGTACCATCATTTTAATCGGCAAAGCCACGTTGCTCACGAGCTGTTGAGAAGAAAAACTTCACACCACAGCCCGCAGATGAGAAACGTGAAATTTGTTCCCTGATAGCAGGAGTGAAGCGTCGGTATACAGACAAGTTGTGAGGTTCATCGAATGGTGGGTGGTTGTGATGGAGCTTTGCAACTTTCTTCTTATCATGTGTCACTACCCATCGATCGATCCGTGCTCGGTAGTTAAGTGACATCTCAAATTGACACCCAGTCTTCTTTGAAGATGTTGAACGTTTCTTCTCGACCTTACCACCTTTTCCTTTTTCAGCTTCACATTTTGATTTGTACCCTAGACAGCATTGGAGGTAGATTCGAACGGTCCGTGCTTTTGTTTTTTTGTGGCTCTTAACGTATAACGCGTACCCTTCGTGTCTGGCAACAGCATTCATGTACATCACGCCTGATCTCATCTCACGGAAACCTTTGCCAATGATCGCAGGCCTGAGCGTGCGAACCGGGGTTGCTCCTATCACATACATATGAAACATACAAGTAACAGGGATATGATAACATTAGCATGATGATATCTATGATATGCGATAAAAGGATGTTCAATCATAGATTGATAGACATACCAATGGGAGGCCAATCTCCGTCGCGTTCATTGTCTAAAAGAAGCTCTATGTCCTCATTGTCTACATCATTCATGAGGACGTCGTCGTCGAGTACGATTTCATTGGTCGCGATGTGAGTGCTTTCGGAAGGTACAGTTGTGATTCCGCCTGTTGCCTCGACAGTGACAGTGGCCGGAGGATTGACAATCAGTTCACTCGAGTTGGTTGCAGCAGGGGCGTTGAAGGGAGGATCATGCTGTTGGAAATTATCAAAGGTGGAAGTGTGGTTGTTTGGATGAGAATTATAGGTATATTGTTGATTAGAATCCGGGTTAGACCATTGAGGGGGCATCTGACTATCAGATGCCACCGAGCCAGATTGCTCAATTCGAGTACAGTGGCTGCGGT